GGTCGCAGTCATTGGGTGCACTGGGTCATTATTTCTGACCGAACCCAAATATCGCCGAGTTGGACTTGTTTATTGCGTGAGATCTGTGGATCAACTGTCTTAATATGTGTGCGTGCGTCTCAAGGTCTGAATATGTCAGATCTACGTATGTTTGTGGCTGCTATATATCTATTAGATAGGAATCAAATTTGATTTAAATCCGAATAAGCTGCCCATTTTTCACAGGCATTGCCACTGACAGCTTTCTGCATCAGGCTGTAGGTTTGGTTCGAAGAGCAGAAGTGCTGAAGGAAATATTTTACCACTCGTGTAGATTCTTCTCAATGCTCTGTCTCAGTCACATCGCAAGATACGTCCGCACATCAAGCCGGGGACAAAAACTATTTTTTCGGTTTCATGTAGCTAATTGATTGTAGCTATATGTCTACAACTCTGCAGATTAGACAGTGCACTAGTTCATGCGCAGCCCCAGAATACGCCATTATCGTTACTTGAAGCATTCTTGCGGTTGGTACCACTTTATTACCGAGTGCTCGCCTCTGAAGAATAGTCTTCCAGGGTTAAGTATAGTCCATATGCACAGACGATGAGGTACACCAACGCAAAAGCAGTGACATTACAACTGTTGTTTTCCTGCAATGCAGTAGCTGTGCAACCAGTTTTCATTGTACGGTAGTCAAGCGCTATTTTGTATGCTAGAATGTGTATCTTATGCTTCACTGGTATTAGTTTAGGAATTTGGTGTGACGAAAGAGTTGACCAGAAAGGCAGGTAATAGGAAAATAAATTGCAAGTTTTTAAAAAGCATTCGCCAGTACCGCTGAAGTGCCTTCAGATTCATTATGTCACTAAATAATTCTAAAAGCTCAAAAATCATCGGAAATAGCAGTGGGCTGACAGAAGGTTAAAGTTAAGAGATTAAGATCGAGAGAAGATTAAACGGGTTTTTCAATCAGTGGCAGATAAATAAATAATATTTTATTCGGCTAAATAGACAATAAGTGGACGTTGGCTCATTTCATTGGCATGAAAAAACCTCTGGCAGCAATAAGAGAGAATGTTTGTCATTTGTCGTCGTCTTCAATTCCCACGATGAATGAATTCGTCTTTAAACACGTTTTGTTGCTGAAAAGACGTCAGGAAATATTTTCGATTAGTAGTCGATTGGCATGATTTATAGCAAATGCCTTGGTCGAAAGTTTATTTCTTTTCTAATCTTTGCATAAACATACTAATGTGGTTGCTCCCATTATGGGTGGCATTGCTGTGGCATGCATAGGTTATTGTTGCCGTTAGCAACAGACAGTGGTGAATTGTGGCTAAATTGTAGAACTACTGAAATTAAAGAGGTCCAAGCAGATTCAACTTGTCTGAAATGCAATTCGTAGCGCTGCATTTGCCAGTAAATGTAAACCGGTCGTCTGACAGGTATCATCGACACGTTTACAGAGCAAAATTGCTGCACAACTGTTCACGATCACAGAAACGGAAACAACTCCCTAGAGCGTAGATAGTAACACAACAGAGTGACGAAGTCCAATGGTGGGGCACTCGGTTCGTGCTGTGACGAAAAGTCAAGACGAAAACAGCATAGGTCACTGTTTATCTATGCACAATGCAAAAAATGGGTAGTGCAA